GCTCCTCCCTCCCGCCAGCTCCACCTTGGTCCTCAGTCGCTCCGGCTCCACCGCGGCTCTCTGGATCTCCGCCTCTGCCTTGGTCGCCAGAGCCTTCGGATCCACCCTGGCCAGTCCTTTCAGTTAGTGTTTGTCGGTCCTCGAACGTCATTCCATGAGTGCCTGTGTCTCCTACGTTCCCCGTGTGATCATTAAAGACTGTGAATTGAAGTATCTCCGTTTTTCCTCGCTCCTTGCCTCCCGAGAATTGTGACAACAGCAAGGTGTACAAGTGTTACTATTTTTTTTCAGGACCATTCAACGTTTTCGAATCATGTCCAAGGTTTTTTTTTTGCGTTCACATAGCAAGTGCCAAAACTTTTACCAAGTTTCATACCATTCCATTTCATTTAAAAATTCTAAATTTTCCAGTCAAAAACAACCAAAGAGGACGAGAGGCTTAAATGTCAGATTTTTCCTTGAATAAATCAATATATATTGATATATTTTACCTTGAATAGATCAATATATATTCACAGCAACTCTCATCAAAATAAAAAAAATGCAACGTTTTACTAAATGTCATGTATAAACAATGTCAGTGACAAGCAATTTACATGCTCTTTTTTTTCCCTTTAAACTATGCATTTGAAAAAATAGATGAATATAAACAACATTTTGTCAAACGAATAATACTCAATAGTTTTGACGATGACTTAAAGTCAATAAAAGACATACTGGATTTATTAAGGCATTTAACACACAATTAAGACATAAAGGGGATTAAATTCATTATGCAAGTTTAAGATATTATATAACAGACATATTTATCATTTACACACCAATGCTAATGCTAACCAACATACTCAACTCATGACATCACTGTATCAATAAAGTATCAAACCAATTTTTAAACATTCATAACTCATTAGTATGTTAAACAGTGTTTATACTCAAAAAGGAAGTGTCCCTGCTGAAAACAAACAAACAGAGTTTCTAATGGTCTCCACTACAGATACTATTACAAACCATCAACGGTTAACTATTAACCACTAACCATTACACCTGCAGTGTGTTTTGGGCCATATCCCATTAGGCTTTAGTGGTTTTAACATGCCACCAATAGAAGGCAACATATTACCAACAGAGACCCACGGGGACCATTACAGTCTCCATTAAAACCAATACAATTCCCATTATAACCATTACAAATTCGATGAAGGTTTTTATTGTCTTTGGTCAGCAGGGGTGTGTTTTTTTTTTGTTTGTTTTTTTACAAATACCTGAGAAAAAACAACACTGATGTGCTTCCTTAATGATGGTTTACCTTGAATAAATCAATATATAAATTAACAGCAACTTGCGTTACAAGACAAAATTATTACAACATATTTTACAAATATTAGACATTTAGTAAAGGCAATGTATAAACATGGTAATTCAGAGACATGAAGCAATTTAAATAAAAAGAAATAGATGAATTAAAGAAATAGTTGAAATAGTTGAATAAGCAAATAACACATTTTCTCAAGTGACTCAATCCATAGCTTACATTCACTAAAGACATATTGGATTCATTAGGCACAATTAAGAGGCATAGAAGGGGTTAACTACACTGAATATTCAGGATTAAGATAGCATATAACTTTGAATTTAGCATTATAAACTCTTATTGCTTCAAATTACATGGCCATATTCAACATCCTAGCATGCTAGTTGCCATGCTAACCATGTGCTTCGACAAACTAAACTCATGAAACGCTCTTAATCAGAGTTGCCAACTTTGGTTGCCTGGCTGGAGTGAGATTTTGTCTCAACAATAACATGCTACTGTCAATTTAAAGTACACTTTATTAAGATTTTGTTGAAGTTACTTGTATAAAATATAATTCCTTGCATACATTTTATAACACACGATAATGGTAACTCTGCAGATCTTATACATGCACAAATAGCTACATAACACACTAAAGGAAAAATAGAAATTGCATCATATGACCCCTTTAACTGTAGAGGCTGCTAAATATATTCAGCAGACACAGACTTGTTACTCTGAATCACTTAATGCACAGCTCAGTTTTTGACATCGGCTTGTCAGAGGTTTTGTTCCGTTATCACTGTCAATCATAGCAATGACGCGCATAGTTTTTTACGCTCGCGTTTGTCATTCCTGAAACACTAAGGTCATTGCTTTCAGAGCTGATTGTGATTTGCTACAGTACTCAACGCTGCAAAAACACGTTGTAAATAAAAACTTTTGGTCACAAAAACACTGAAGAATTTCGCAAGCTTGCATCCCTGATTTTGCGTCGTAATGTTGTGTCTCACGCCAAATGCGTCAGAGTTTGCAACCCTGTATAATAAAGTATAAAACCAACTTTTTTTTAACATTTATCACTCATTAGGTTTATGCTAAACAGTGTTTACACTCAAAACGGAAGTGTGTGTTGTGTATTTTGACAAATACCTGCATGTGAATGTGCTCTTCAATGCTGGCTTACCTTGATACAGTGTGGTCTGTTGGATTTTCAGTCGTGGAGTCAAACTTCTTGATGTGTTTTTGTACTCCACAGACAGGATTTATAAGGATGCAGCAGACGTGATGCTTGTCCTTCACGCTTCAACACAATCAATCCTTCCGTTTATCGCTCTCCAGTCGTATTTCCTCTCATATCGCTCACAGGCCGCTGGCTGCCCTCAAACTTTTAACTCAGACTTTCACCTTCTGCCAAGAAAAGCTCATAACAGACGGTCACATTAAGACAATTCATTATGAGAATTCTAATTCATAATCTGTGACCCTGAGAGAGTTCAGATGAGACAAGAACGAGATTGATTCTCATTAACTGACGGTAATAAAGATGAACTGATGCCTTCAGTCATCCACCACATCAGTCCCTTCATTATAATTGGAAATTTATTTAAGAAGCCACTGAGTCACTGTCTTTTGATATCTGCCACATTCAAAGCAAAGGAAAACTTTATTTCATTCCCTAAAATTGGAGAAGTAACTTTGTTCTTTGTGATGAGTTCTCTAACTAAATCTTTCTCTAGTTCACCTAAAATCAAAAGTCTGACATCTTTAACTCACCCTCATGTTCTTCCAAACCCATATGATTTTCTTTTTTTCTGTGGAACTTAAAATATATTTTTTATATCCAAGCTGCTGTTTTTCACACAACGAAGGTGGATACAAATGTAATCATAAACACACATTGTAACAAATCTTAAAAAAAAAAAAAAAAACGTGTTTTGTGCAACAACCATTTAAACTGTTACATTCAAAATATTTTATTATGGAGTTAATGTTATAGTTAAAGGCCAGTATAAAATGGTGTTATTTTATTATCAATGATATACTAGTTTTTGTCAATATTTTAAAGATGTAGTGGCTTTAGTAATTTTGTTGTGTTTTTGCCATTTTATGTCTATATAGCCTAGCATTTATTCATTTTATTTGTTAGTTTAATTTGTAGTTTTAGTTATTTTAGTACTTAAACAAAAACAAAAAGATTATAAAAAAAGTTTTCAAAGTTCAGTTTAAGGGAATTAAAAAAAATAATATTAAGGTTTATTTTAAGCAACAATATATATTTATTTTTTAAGTAACAATACATATATAATCCTTATTCTTAAAAAAAAAAAATAGTTTTAGCTTTAGTTAACAATAATAGCCCTGGTATAAAATGACTAAAATGGCTTTTGATACGGACAATGCATCAAACGCTCAGAATTCTGTCTCAATCTAAGGGTAAAATACTGATTAAAGCAATAGTGATGTTTAAAATAATGATAATATGAGTTATGATAAAATACTACATATAACTGGTGTAAATATACTGCCTCTCGCTCTTTTTCTTTCCACATGGTCCCCTTCTCTCTTTCAGTTCTCTTGTTCCCAATGCGGAGCTCCACGACACAGTTTGTACTAGAATGAATTAACAAAGATAACAGATGACAACGGCGGACTCATAAGTCAAACACTGCAAAACCTCTGTGAACTGAATCCATGTTTCGAAAGGCAGTTAGCGTTTCTTCATCTTCGAGGAAGGTCTTCCGCGCCGATCCTTTCCTCCTTTTGTGGCGATGACGCATTTTCCCCACAGAATGGGTGATAAACGGAAAACCTCTTTCATTGCAGTTTTCTGAGTCATTAGTGTTCTTTAGAGAAAGTCTTTGAGCTTTACATTCCATAATGCATCCGCGGGTAACCATGGAAACCCCATCTGGAACCTCACACAGTCAGGCGCGATCTCTCTGCTGGAGCGAAGCACAGCACAGGCTTTTCATTACAGAACTCAAACAGCAGCATCAGACTCTGCAGAAAGAGCGCACTCACGTCTGATCTGTGCGGGATCAGTCGAGTGTATGTTCATCCTCTCTCTGACTGCTCCAGATACGCCGCTCCAGGCTTGGCAATTCTGTTGCTCTGTTGAAACAGAACGCATATGAACACGACCGCACACGAGAACTAGCAGAAAACATCGACGCTCCCACTCATGCCTATGGAAGAGGCAATAATAACAGAACCTGACCTGTCAAACACTGTAGAACTTTAAAAAGTTTCAACTATAAAGCTTTAGAAAACTATAGAAGACACACTTTCATGTAAATCTGGCTCTGACTGTAAGCAAACACTGCTGCGCCCACAGCCCGTTAGAACTTAGCATTTAACTAAAAATCTGATCAATATAAAAGAATTTAAAAACATTTACTTACGCATATTTGAACACTGGAACGTGAGAGATTTTACTCTAGTAAGTTTTTTGAATAAAAAGGAAAAAATGAAAACCATTACATCATACAGCAGCATTGTGACTGCATCACACTTGATGACAAGCTGAATGTGTCGCCATGGAAATAGGAATGTGCTGCTATCTTAAAAAAAAAAAAAAAAACGTGTTTTGTGCAACAACCATTTAAACTGTTACATTCAAAATATTTTATTATGGAGTTAATGTTATAGTTAAAGGCCAGTATAAAATGGTGTTATTTTATTATCAATGATATACTAGTTTTTGTCAATATTTTAAAGATGTAGTGGCTTTAGTAATTTTGTTGTGTTTTTGCCATTTTATGTCTATATAGCCTAGCATTTATTCATTTTATTTGTTAGTTTAATTTGTAGTTTTAGTTATTTTAGTACTTAAACAAAAACAAAAAGATTATAAAAAAAGTTTTCAAAGTTCAGTTTAAGGGAATTAAAAAAAATAATATTAAGGTTTATTTTAAGCAACAATATATATTTATTTTTTAAGTAACAATACATATATAATCCTTATTCTTAAAAAAAAAAAATAGTTTTAGCTTTAGTTAACAATAATAGCCCTGGTATAAAATGACTAAAATGGCTTTTACTAAAATCTATTTTTTTTTAAATTAACACTAAGAGAAACTTGTTTAATGTCCATGTGGTCAAAAAAAACTTTGATGATGCCACTTCCTGAAATACGATGTTGGTAAGATTAAACTACGTTTGTAAGAGTGGAAAATATGGGGTTGAAAAGAAGAGACCAAACATATGTAGAAAAAAAGACATATTTAAAGCCTTACATTTAAGGCAGAATTACATTTTGATATACTGTATATTCACACTGTATTACATTTAATTTGGATTATTGTGTGCATGCAAATTGTCTGACATCCTGATGAAAAAATAATGTTTTATTTTAATTTTAAATGTTGTGTTAAATCTATGTAAAATGTGAAAAGTTTTTGTATCTTTTATTTCCCCCCTCTTTATTTATTTATTTTAATTTTCAAACATAATTCATTCCATTCTTTTATTAAGATTCCATGGCGACTGCATCAACACAATGATCCGAGAGAGCTGGTATGCATTTATCATTTTTATTGTAAAACTGAAAAAAGAAGAAAGACAGAAAAAGCCCCAATAAGCATCATTTATACATATTATGTCAGAAATGATAAACTTAAAAGTTCATACATAAATATATAAATATACCAATGCAAATGATTCAATTCTAATAATAAAAATAATCAAATAAATTAATGATCGAAACAATAAATAGATCACCGTAATTAAAACCTTTTACACATTTAATTGTCAAAGCAGCAAGTTCAAGAGGGAAGATAATGGGACAAAACTGGTTCTTCAAAAATGAAACGAAAAGGAAGGTTTGCTCCTTTACACCTCCAGAGAAGGGCTTAAACTCATCGTACAGACGTTACGGGAACATCTGGTCGTGTCCCACACTTCCCTAAATAGCATTTAAACATAGATTCATTATTTAGCTTACATCTGTTTGTATATTGTGCTAAGAAACCCTAAGATACACAATCGTCCATAGCAAAGCCGACCCGAGTTGTTTTCTGTCGCCGATCCAGGTCTCGTGTTGGTTTCCAGCTCATCTGTAGAGCTGATCCCGGATCAGTCGCGACAGAAAACGCCGGGCGCTTTTGCGCGACTCCCCATTGTACCTGAAAGAAGCGTTCTGTGCTATCAATAATCCCAGCAAATACAGATTTCATGAGCCCGTCCCTTTGCATTCATTACCTTGACATATATAAAGAGAACCATTCATAGGAATATCACACCAGTAGATTAATCTATAACATCCTAAACCATTTTCTTCTGTACAAAACATTCAGAGTATTGGCTGGAACAAATCATTCTATCAAAAACGCGGGAAAGAAAAGCAAACATGGATGGAAAGCTTGAGGTTTGTATGTTTGGATACTGTATGCAGCGTTGGCTCTAGCAGAGGACTATGGCAGTATATGGGGAGTATGAAGGAAGAGGACATGGCTTAGTTCAGGTAGTAACATTATATGAATAAAAAACACAGTTTGTAAAACATACACCCAAAATAGCCCAGACTCTGAAGAGCATGTCCAGCGAGTCCAAACGCAGCGCTAGGTTTCCATTATATCCTTACTGCATGATAGCACGCTTAAAAACTATAAAGCGTGACCTCCGCTATTCACCTTGAAGCTTTGACTGTTACCCAAGGAGGTACTGGTTGAAAATCAAAACCAAAAACAGTGCATTTTTATGTTTTCTATGTCTGTTACTACAAAAATGTCTCTCTACGTCTCTAGCAATTAGCATGCACAAATGTGATTTAAAGAACTATAGGCAGGGCAAGCTATGAAAGAAGAACTAGTTTTCTCTTTTTTTTGGCAATAAATAGAATAAAAATTAAAATAGAGCATGAGAATTCATGTTTGTACAGCATGTATGAACCACAGGTTTAGAAACATCCAGACTAAAAATTGCATGTGCCACTGCGTGGATCAGCTGCGCACGGCTAGGAATGTTCTGTTGTTACGAATGGAAAGGAATGGAATAGTATACACTGCTAAATGCACAGTTTGTCCCTTTTTAACCCAGCGCTGGGTTATATTTAACCCAGCATTTTTTAGTGTACTGTTTATTTATTTGTATTTTTTTTGTCAAATGTCAATCTGTGACACAGTATGCAATGACACATTTTCAAACACACTGAACAATGATTTTTCAATGAAGTTGTAAATAAACATTATTGGAGTATGTATATTTCAGTCTTTCGACCTCAAAATTTCATGTTTAATTCAATGTGTTACTAGCTGTTTCTTTGTAATTATTTGTGAAATTTACTAGCAGGGAAAATTAATTCCAAGTAAACCAACACCGATTTTTTCCCCCAGCATAGTAGTAAAAGTAGTAGTATATTTTCTTATGAAAATGTGAGTGGAACCAATGCAAAAGTTGGGTGTTGCTATGTGGTTGTTAAGTCGTTCTGTATGAATCAGTGTTATTTTTGTATAACTGAGATAATATTATAGTTTCTGTTACTTTTGGGAATTAGTATTTAATTTTATATAGTGGTTTATATAGGTTTCATTGGAATTCTAGTTAAAGTTTTAGTAATTTTTTGTGTTTTTATCATTTGCCTATATATATATATATATATATATATTAAAATATGTCTATATAGTTTTTATTAATTGTTATTTTATTTTTAGTTATTTTAGTAGGCCTATATCAAGTTGAAATGTTGTGAAAAGTATTTTATTTTATTCAGTTAATATTTATTTTATTTAAAGTAAAAATTTATTTTTTATGGTTTTATTTTTAGTTAACTACACTAGAGAAATTAGGTATAGAGTGTAAATTTCACAAATAATTACAAAGAAACGGAAAGTAACACTGAATTAAACATGAAAATTTGAAGTAGAAAAAATGAAATTGTATTTTCTTGTAAAATGTACTGCAATAATCTGTTTTATTTACTTATTGATTTATCTTAGCTTTTTTATTAACTTCAAAAAAGCATTCCTCACAGTGTATAATATTGATTTTTAATGCATTGATATGCATTTGCTAGGGTATTGCTTTGTTGCATACTGTGTATTTAATAAATGTAGTAGAGAAAAAAACAGTATGCATACTGCAAAAACAGTGTGAGGAGTATGTTAGAAGGCTTTTCCAAACACATCCATGATCTCACTGGGTCCCGTCTCAGAATGATGAGGGCACTCTCCAGTTAGTTTAACAGTTCAGGTTTACAGTATTAAAAAAAAATAAAAATGAATGGAAGATGTAGAAGTGAACAGAATTGTGCCCTTGAATGTTGATTATAGTGACCTTCCGCTGTGATCATCTGATCAGTGTTTAATTGAAAAGCTGCTCTGTCCCTGAGCACTAATTTGAGTTCAGACAGACAGATGGCAGACGTCCCGCTGGAGCGATAGGAACTGGAATGTTTGTGCAACTATTAGCCATATATATATATATATATATATATATATATATGTGTGTGTGTGTGTGCATGTGTGTGTGTGTGTGTTTGTGTTTGAGGACCTTGCTGGACTCCAACTAGTTTTAATGATCCATTCCGTATCAGTGATGAAAAAAGAAAGTCTATTTTAAGACCATTACAATTTTTACATTTCTTTAAAAAAATTTTTTTTTTGCACTTTGTGACATTATTTTTCTTGACAATTAAGGACATTTTTGTCCCAAATTCTCATTAACAAATAAAAATCTCATGCTCATTACTATGAAAAAATTAAAGGTAAGTGTATACATCATTATAGCATTTGTCGTTAACTTATAAACATTATCGTATTAAAGCTATTTCCACTTTTTATTTTGGATATTATTACAGTAAGTAATAATGTCAATAACAAAACTAATAGTATAATGATGACTCATATAATAATGCTTTTTGCATTGCAGCAATGAGAATTTGCATGACAGTAAAATGTGCTTAATATCAAAATATCACAATGGTCCTCAAAATTGCTGCCAAAATGTCCTATATA